ACTAGCTGGCTGGCTAGCTCACTGTTACTTCCCATTCCTCCGTCACACTGACGGGTTAAATCCTGAGAATACTTAGTCTTGGCATACATTTAAAAGATACAGCAGTATGATGGCTGAAACAGAAAACATTATATTTCCTTTTTGTAATAATTTGTGCTGATCTTTACATCCCTGGCAAGTTAATAATAACCATTTTTGAAAAGTTATTAGCAAAAAGAAAATGTTCAAATGAAATTCTTCTGCTTCATTTTTAGCAAAGTAAAATCTTGAGCAGCCTTTCAGAAGCCATAAAATTCTAGAAAGAATGCTGATGCCGGGAAGAAAAGTAAAATGGAATTTATTATTTGTGTCAGTAGATAGCAAACATATGGTGTAAGGAAGTAAAAAGCCCTAAACACTTCAGTTACAGCATAACCTTAATAGAAACACATCCTGCATAACCAGCACATTTTCCTTTTTTTCTACAATGAAGTAACCATATTGTAATCATACTGGTCATTGCTAGTAATGATATACGTGTAATATACTTACTAGTTCTGTATGCCAGAATAAGTTATTATGTTGGGGATCTGCATATCTCATTAGAAATACAGCTGGTTTCATTTAGTTGAACACTATAATGTTGGGCCTTTAAAGATACTATGTAAGCAAATGCATCAAATTACTGTGACACTGAAATACATCCTTTTTTTTCCAGAAATAATCTATACACATCCACTTATTAATGACCCTTTAATAATTTTTTCATTAAATCCTTTCTTACTATGTTCTTCTGCCTTCTTGTAACACATTTCATGAGCTCCCAAACCTCTCCTCTTCACCCTCACCTCTGTTTCTTTGAAACAAGCAGTGAATGTTAGATATGAGCATGTACACTGCTCTAAGCACACTACACATCCCATAGTTCATAGACCCTAGTCGATCTCGTGAGTGATAAAAAATGGGTGGCTTTACTTCTACTTATAGTGGAACCATGGAGAATGAACAGAGGAAGAGGAACTTCTAAGAGGAAGTTGGATCACAGCAGCAAAAAAAAATAATGGAGATTTGAAGGATACTGAAAGCATTAGAAAGGACTTTTTTCTGAGTGAATAATACATACTTAAATAAAGTAAAATTTCTAAACCAGTTTAATGTCACTTTAAATACTTGCCACCCCCAGGGGCGGACTGACAACTCATGGGGCCCCCGGGCAATAGGGGATCATGGGGCCCCTGTGTCCTTGCCCAAACTAAAATAAACCTATGAAAAAGGTACCAGAGGCATCTCATGGGGCCCCCTACTGACCCCGAGCCCTCGGGCAGTGCCCGAATTTCCAAATGGTCAGTCCACCCCTGGCCACCACCCACAGTACTTTTACTGCAAGCGGGCATCAGCTACAGGCTCAGCGATGTACTGATATATCACTAAGAACATGAGCACTGGCACACCCTAGGGTGCCCTAGGGAGTGCCTGCTGGACACAGCAAACCACGGTGCTTGATACCTGGGCCCTGTGAGCAGCCGGGGTATCATGTGATCTCTATGACCAATGTAAGTAAGTACAATGTAAATAAAACAGTCATGAATGATTGCCCACAGCTATCATATGGTACCTGAAACCCTGTACCATGTGATTAGTGGTAGCCAATCACAACATGTCAACAGTAAGCAAGTTGTCATGAATGGAAACCCATTCATTAAAGTTAACTATTGCTTATAACGTGTGATCATTACTGTTATAAGCAAAACAGTGTATTAAAAAATCCCAGATAACCTCCTCAGTGCAGTACACTGAACTGTTCTTACAGTATATAAAAAAAATAGTCAAAAGGAAAATTCCTTTTTTCTTAAATACTCTCACCAGTCAATATCCCTGATTGATCACCACCACACCAGTCATATGATGACACTGGTGACAGTAGGGAAAGAAAAATGTGAGAAAAAAAAACAAATTCATTTTATTTTTTCATTTTGCAAAACAAATTCCAAAAAATTACAACTTCAAAAAATTCACCATACCTCTTACTAAATACCTTGGACTGTCTACTTTCCAAAATGGTTCAATTTGGGGTTATTTGTACTATCCTGGCATTTTAGAGCTCCAAGAAAAGAGATAGGCTGTGATTACATCAAAATTGTTAAAATTTCAAATATACTGTATATACCATTGTTTGTAGACTCTATAACTTTCAGACAGACTAAATAATATACACTGATTTGGGTATTTTTACCAAAGAAATGTAGCACAATACATTTTGGCATTAATTTATGAAGAAAATAGAAAGAGAAACTAAGAAAAACGTTTTGTTTTTCAAAATGTTTTTTTTTTTTTCATTTATATCGCAAGAAATAAAAAACCCAGTGCTAATTAAATACCATCAAAAGAAATCTGTTTATGTCAATAAAATATAATATATACATTTTATTTGGGTGCAGTGTTGCATGATCAAGCAATTGCCAGTTAAAATAGCACAGTGCTGAATAGGAAAAAATGCCCTGGTCATGATGGGGGTAAAACCTTCAGGTTGCCAAGTGGTTAATATGGTTTACAAGCACTTCAACATAATCACGTCAACATAATATTTACCAACTATAAAAATGTCATTGAAGCTAATCTATAATGAGTAAACTAGAGTTAAAAATTTCACAGGTAATTCAGATAATGCAGGAATCACTTTACCTGCAAAAAAGACATAGACCAAAAGCTGCATATTTTGTAGTGACTATATGTTGTTTGCCCACCTACTATTAAAACACCAACATATACAAACATATTTTATCACCTGGTCAACTGTAAGGAAATAAAAAAATTCCCTTACTGCTAGGTTTTTGTCCTACGTTTATTATTGTGGATAGACATTATCTTTGGATCTAAAAAGCTTTTGAGCTGGTCTTTATATCATTGATGTAATAAACGTTCCCACATGACACCCACAATTTAAATATTTTAAATACTGATTATTGTTGAATAATACTGAATATTGAACTAAATACTGAATATTGTTGAAGGTACTTTCCTCCCATCATCTTACTCTTAACCTATTACTTTGTTTGTCTGGCATACATATTTATATTTTCTTGAATGTACATGTTAGCACATGGACTGTTGGGAGCATGGACTGTAGATACATGTCACCTAGGTTTCCCACATACACGTGGTGAGGAGCTTCAGAGTTTATGGCTCATGTGGAGAAAACAAACTTCTGATTTCTTAGGATCTTAATAAGTTCCATGCTGGGTCCAGGTGCTCAAGGGCTTGGTAGAACTTTGGATTGGAAAAGGCTCCACTCCTAGGTCCACATCTTACTTGGTAGCCAGACCTAACTTTTAGTCCCAGATGTCCACAGGCTTTGTATGCATGAGCTGACTGTTGCTCAAGGCTCTCTCAAATGCAGGAGCCTACTGTTGTTCTGAAAGAACACCAAAAATGGTAAAAGCGCTGCCTTTGTTTTGGGAAACCCATTAGGAGGCACTCTTTTAGTCAGGAACTGATCTTATTTTAGATAGAGGTTCGAGCAAGCAGATTATTAGGAGCTAGAACATATGCTGGTGGCACTGTGGTCCCCAAACCTAAGGGTTGTAGTTCTAACGTCCACCAATTTACTGCTGCTGACATCAGTTGAACCTGCCCCCCTTTCAACTGATACTGAAAAAAATGCATGGTCACCAATAATCTTCATTATACAGTGTTACAGAACAATACTGTAACATTATTTTAGAAATGACTGCATTTTCTTGGAACTAATAATGTATCTAGATTTATAACTACCAGGCTAAGAGAACGCTATATTGATCCAGGGAACAAAGCCGATCTATTTTTGGCAACAGGTACACAGAAAATATTGTGTTGACTTTCTGTGGGCCAAAGCAACAGGATTTGTGAATAGTTGAAATTGATGGATAGCAGTCTAAAAGTGGTTGTAAAGGGTTCAGGTCTTTTACCCTAATGCATTATCTGCATTAAGTTAAGAACTCTTTTATGTGCAGCCCCCTTGCTTCCTAAATTCTTACCTGAGCCTGATCTCATTCCAGTGCTGTGCCCAAAAGAAGTGGATCTCTACGCTCTCTCTCTCTCCCTCCCTCCTCATTGGATTGAGAGCAGCTGGAATTTGTAAATATATATATATATATCAATTTTTTTTTTATTATTATTATTCTTTTATTTTTTTTTTTTATAACACAAGCATTAGGAAAAAAAAATATATGGGTGTGTGTGTGTATTTATGATCAAGTAAATATTTAGTATCTCTGATATTTCTATATAGTTCAATTTAATAAATAGAAGTTATTTTATATAAGGCCCCATGTACACGGGACACTTCTGAACGATGGAAACTGACTGCTGGAAAACGTAGGTAAGAAAACGTCTGTTTAGCCGCCTTTGCATAACGTGTTTATGTGCGTTTGTGTTTAGAAGCATTTTTTAAAGATAAGCACAGGAGAACCTCCCAAATGCCCAGAATGCACTGAAAAGTGGTAAATTATTAACTATTTCAGACTGTTTCAGAGAAATACAGAGAGTAGAAGCAGAGACAGCAGTATGTGTTGAAATTAGCTTAGGTGTGAGTTGCTCATTGCCATTTCTTATGTTTCCAAGGGTGGAAAGGTATCTGCTGGAGTGAGTCATTAAGGTCACCTGGCAGGGGGTCTTCATGAGGAATTTGAGGTGTGAATGGTCATTAACATATTTTTGGTTTCCAAGGGTGGGAGAGGTCTGAGGTGTGAATTGGTCATTACAATGTGTGACAAGCTTGGTAGGAACATCCTGTGTTCAGTGTTTTGCCCATCTGAGTACCTTGAAAACAATTTCCATGCATTTTTCATGATGAAAAAAGGCTGTGGACAGCATCGAGAACTGGAAGAGTTAAAAAAAAATTTCAAACACTTATAAACGCGTTTTTTTGCGTTATAAAATGACTGCTGAATGCAAGTTTGGTGCATTCAAAAAAAAACGACTGTAAACTCAAATGTTTGTAAACGAAGATGTGTACATGGACACATAGGAAAACATTAGGGTGAGTTCAGGGCAGGGGCGGACTGATCATTTGGAAACTCGGGCACTGCCCGAGGGCCCGGGGTCAGTAGGGGGCCCCATGAGATGCCCCTGGTACCTTTTTCATAGGCTTTTTTGAGTTTGGGCAAGGACACAGGGGCCCCATGATCCCCTATTGCCCAGGGGCCCCATGAGTTGTCAGTCCGCCCCTGGTTCAGGGGCTGCTGAAAAAAAAATGCTGAACAGCTCCTAAACGTGAGTTTATCAGCTGCAGTGTACATGAGCCCTAAGGCAAACTAGACTACTTTCAATGGTGCTTTAAAATAAACCAGTTTTCTTCAATAATGGGAATGGCAGGTTTTAAAAATACAGTGAAACCCATATAAGAATTGGCATCTAAAATTCAATTAGTGCTAATCCATCTTTCTAGCTTTTTATTATTATGCATAAAATTGCTTGCAATATAAGTTCGATTACACACTGCAGCAGTCATAGATGAAAAAATACAAGCTTATTCCAGTTATTACAGCAAAGCTGCACATAAAGGTAAATAAAATCATTTATTTTCCTTTCTTTAAATAATTTAAAAAAGAAATGAACAGGTGATCATTAACAAATATGGTTTATTTAAAAGCTCAGTAGTTCTTCATGCTCGGGAAAAATTTATAATTCCAACTGATTTTAGTCCATGGCAGCAGTATTTTTTCTTAAATCCTAAGATAGATATTATTTCACATTGAAAGCATTATCTGTCACATATGTTCCATTTATCAGGGCTACTTAGGTTCCTCATTGCTATAAATAGAGCTTCTCTTTTCCCAGTGTGGGCTATTAATTTAATTGAGTGTCAACCATGATAGCCTGGCTACTAAAGATCACTCTGGAACACTACATCATTATCACAAATACAAGAGGCCTGGGAATTCTTGTGCCAAAATGCCAGGCTTTGTAAGTTCAACAACAGGTACATGGAAACAGCAGGTGTTCGCTGTGTTGTTCTACTTAGATCTTTATAATGTATACATTGCAGAATTGAACTGACACCGCAAAAATGGGATTTTTTTCCCCTAAACTTGTCCAGAAAAAAGCAGCTGCAGAAAAGTTTATTGTGAACAATATTTTAACCACTTCATGAACAAATGAATGATTCCCACTACCTTTTATAGCATTTAAATCTGTATATCATTGCATATTTTCTATAGTTTTAGGATCACTTTTAGTACCCCAATGAAATATTTCTGCATTGCCATCTTATAGTTTCTCCTACACAATGATGGGATTTAAATATATTTTGCTCAAGGTCAAATTTAAAGGTGTCATGAAAATATTTTAAAGCCCATGATATTTGACAGTTATTATCACTGCTGTATCCTTAATTTGAGTGTCAGATAGCCAGTAGTTTCATATTGTAGCCGATGTTCTGTAATATACTTGAGTAACTGGTGACATTTCATAACTGAAGAGGGGATTATGCAGCGTAGATTTTTCATTGAACAAAGTTTGAGTTTTATACATCCACTTTTGTCAGTGATTTCAAATATGTTTCACAGGACAGTGCACCCAATCCAGCATGGAAATTCACTCAGGGACAAAATGCCTCCCTTATGGGAGGCATCCCTTATGCCATTTTAATGCTATTTAACCAAATACAGCACATTTGTAGAAGTAAGGCACAACGTTCTTCCATGAAAGCCAATGGGTAGATGATTGGCGGTCTAAAAAGCCACTCAGGCTTACTTTTTACCACCAGACTTTCCAGCTGCTACCGTCACTACTGTGTGTTATCAGTAAATTGGATGGGTGTTTTACATAATCATTTATTTATTATCTGTATTCCTTTCAGGTTAGCCCTGAGATTATCTGTAATCCCTTTCAAGGGAGCCCGGAGGTGAGTCTTTAAAGAAGCGGGCCTTGCTTCGTGAAGCGCATCAGAAAAGTTATTATAGCCACTATTTACATGGTGACAGCAAAATGACATGCAAATTTAATGCTGATTCCTAAATGCCTACTGTTTGTAGGAAATAAACTAGTGCGATAATATACATGGATGTTGTGCATAGGAGAAAGGTGACAGTTGCAATAGACATTACATTTTACACGCTATACATTTCAAATGCCTTTTTAAAGATAACTTGCTTTCAAGAATATTGAATTTATAAAAATAATGAAAATACTTTTCATCACATGGTCTGGTCACTGGTCTGCACTATGCAGTAAATTCAAGATATGTCTGTACTCAAATCCAAACAGATTTCATATGACACGTGATTTGCTAAAGGGGTCTGAACACATATCTTCACTGAAAATTAAGAAATGAATAGAGTTTTAATTGTTACCATGTGGTCACACACCTTTAGGACCTTATGCGTCTTATATACTGTATGTAAGGCAGGCCGTAGATGATACAAATTTCTTTCCTGAGACCACGTGCAGTTCTGGTCCGGTATTATGGAGAAAAGTAACCTGCTGTTCTTGGGCCTTGTGAGTACAGACACCTCTAAAGGATCTTAGAGACTGTGCGCTACTTAACTGCCTCTGGTGATGGCAAGTCTAGCTAAAGGGGACACTGGCTGGTGTTCCAAAGAGCTTTGTCCATTTTATCTCCTACTTCAAGGGACTCTGCTCTAGTTGCTACTACTACTACTACCAGGGGCAGACTGACCATTTGGAAACTCGGGCACTGCCTGAGGGCCCGGGGTCAGTAGGGGGCCCCATGAGATGCCCCTGGTACTTTTTTCATAGGCTATTTTGAGTTTGGGCAAGGACACAGGGGCCCCATGATCTCCTATTGCCCAGGGGCCCCATAAGTTGTCAGTCCGCCCCTGACTACTACTATTACTACTACTACTGCTGCCTTAAAGCTGACATCTACTGTACATAGTTTCTGTTTGAAGTGTATCCCACCTAATTACCCATCCCTATGGAGGTTCTCCATAAATAAAAAAACAACACCCTAGACTGGTCATTGAAGAAACGTGTGAGTGAGCATGTGGCTGTAGGGCAAAGCTTTTGGGGAAGACCTGGACAGTATTCCTGGAGCTCCTACAGGAGTAGCGCTACATATGTATATATATATATATATATATATATATATATATATATATATTGGACAGAGAGGGATCACTTTGATGCAGGTGGCAAGTTTGAATGTGTATTGTCATCTCTGTAAACAAGAATTCCTATGCAGAAACCTATCTCAGAAATGTATGCAAAAGTTTGATAGAAATAATTAACCAGTTCCCTACCGCGCTATAGCTGAAGGACGGCTACAGCATGGTTGTCTGGTTCTGCGATGATGTCCATGGATGTCATTCCAGGACACGCTCCCCCAGCAGCGCGCACCTGGCATTGCCGGCGATCGCTGTGTCCTACAGACACAGCTGAACATGTGATACGGTAAACGACCAATCACGGCAGCCTTTTACCGCATGATCAGCTGTGTCCAATGACACAACTGATCACTGGGTAAATACAGTTGCCGGTTATCGGCTGCACTTTCCTCGCGCTGTTCAGTGCCCAGCAGTGCTGCCCACCTGTTCCACCCACCTGTGCCCATCAGTGTTGCCCACCTGTACCCATCAGTGCCACCCACCGGTACCCATCAGTGCCACCCATCTGTGCCCAGCAGTGCCACCCACCTGTGCCTAGCAGTGCCACCCACCTGTGCCCAGCAGTACCACCCATCAGCACTGATGGGTGGCACTGCTGGGCACAGGTGGGTGGCACTGATGAGCTGGAACTAATGATGCTGCACTGATAGGTGGCACTGATGGGCAGCACTGATGGGTGGCACCTCTGGGCAGTGCCGCCTATCAGTGCCCATCAGTGCTGCCTATCCTTGCCACCTCATCAGTGCCCATCAGTGCTGCCTATCAGTGCCCATCAGTGCTGCCTATCAGTGCAGCCTCATCACCGCACATCAGTGAAGAAGAAAAATTACCTGTTTGCAAAATTTTTTAATAGAAAAAAGAAAACCTTTTTTTTTTCAAAATGTTTGCTTTTTTTTTTGTTTATAGTGCAAAAAATAAAACATCCAGCGGCGATTAAATACCAGCAAAAGAAAGCTCTATTTGTGTGAAAAAAATGAGAAATGTCATATGGGTACAGTGTCGCATGACCACGCAATTGTCATTCAAAGTGCGACAGCACTGAAAGCTGAAAATTGGCCTGGGCAGGAAGGGGGTATAAGTGCCCAGTAGGCAAGTGGTTAAGGGCATCTAGCAGTGTTCAAATTGTTAATTAAGTCAGTCTTCAGTCAGTCAACATCCCTGAAGCACCTCATGGAGTTTATTTTTTTAAAACTGGAGAGTGCAAAATCTGGTGCAGCTCTGCATAAATAACCAATCAGCTTCCAGATTTTTGTTGTCAAAGCTTAACTGAACAAGATGACTTTAGGAGCTGTTTGGCTAGCATTCACAGCTGCACCAGATTTTGCACTCTCCAAAAGTAGTAAATCAACCCCTATGAGTTTTGTATCAAACAAAGCAAAATCCATACAAAATGTTCCATTCCAGCAACAGCTGGAGGCAAGTTCTGTAACTTTGCCCGCAAATGTTTCTGGAATGGAACATTTTGTATGGATTTTGTTTCTTTTTAAAATTTTTTTTAATAAATTTGGAGTGCAGCAATCCTTGATTTTAAAATAAGTGCTTTGCGTAATAATCTCGATTTATAACCTGTACACAAGATCAATTACTATAAATATAGCAAAATTGTGCTGCTCCAATAAATAGTGTTGCAAAAAACTATTATATATACATTTAAGCTTGTGTGTTAGTCCCCTTTCACACTGATGGTCTGATCCGGTCCACCTGTCAGTTTAGCAGGTGGACCCGGTCGGACAATCCATGGACCTCAATAGACCGGAGGGTGTCAATGGACACGTGTCTGCTGACACCCGCCGGCATCCAATCCGATCCTGTACGCCAACAACAGACAAATGGAGATCAGATAGGATGCCAGTCAGATGGAAATGGACAGGCAGCTCGTTTCCATCTGACCGCTCCATAGAAGACAGTGGTCTGTGTGTCCATTCTGCAGCAGCGGAACTGACACAGACCTGTCATCCACCTGTCATCAGCGGGGAGGAGGTGGATCTGCTGACGGGTCCACCCCATTTGAAAGGGGCCTTACTAAATGAAAAAAAAAATATTAACATTAGGCACATCAATTCATGTCTTCTTCTATGCCCACATATTTATTATATGTGCACCACTCTATG